AAAAAAAAAAAAAAAAGAAAGTACTAACCCAATAGTGTGAGATTTCAGGGAATTATCAGTACTGCATAGTAACTGTAATAAAGGCAGAGACCATAACAAAAGAAAAGTAACTCATTCTGATCATCTCCTGAAATTAAAGTTTCTCCTTACTTTAATAATTTACCTTATGTACGACTTTGACAAAAACTCAATATAACTTCTAGAACTGTATATGTTTACAAAAGTATAGTTAACCAAATATCCAACTGAAATCATTAAATGCTAATACATTCTTACAAACATAGTGCTTAGCACTATGTTCAAAAGAGATATACATTTTTGACTTCTAGAAGCAGATTTCTAAAACAGATACTGGTGCAAAATATGCAAATAAATCAAAACAACTATGTGGCAGAATCAAGAAAATTATTGGCAGAAAAATTAAAATCAGATAGAGTAATTCTAAACACCCGTTAGAGAGGCTATGCCGTGGCTGGCTTAGGGGTGAACCAACTGCACCCAAGGCCCAGTACCTTCCTGCTTCCCAGAGATCACTTCTGCCTGAGACTGTGAAAAGAGGAAGTCAAACTCCAGTGGTAAATCTTTCACTAGGTCAGCCAAGATAGCCAACTGCTTTCTGCAAGAAAGAACAGAAAATCCCAAAGTTAGTCACTAAACTCTCTTTTCATAAACTGCCTCAACTTGCCCTTCTACTTAGACTTGTCATGACCTCGCTGTTCACCTACCTCATCTACTTGTCCAGCCCTGCTTCTTTTTGGTACTGCCTTTGATTTTAAAAGTTTAAACTGTCTGCAGGTATAGCCTCCTACCTAAAAGGCAACATGGTAACAGTAATGCTTTCTCCTTATATGATGTAATTATTCAAAAAGTGTTAAAAGATGAGACTATGGTTTTATGACTCTCACTGGCTGAGTACAAATAAGCCACAGGAAATTGCAGCAAAGTTTCATAACCTGGAAAATTGATGTAATTACATTATTCCTCACTACTGTAAAACAAAGATGTTAAATTAAGGAACACAATTTCACCCTCAAATCTTACACAACACAGAAACAATGCTTCACATTACCACACAAGATGTTCTGTTGGTTCCACAAGTTATAATATAATCCTTACATAAGCTAACAATTAACTTTTTTTTTTTTTTTGAGATGGAGTTTGGTTCTTGTTGCACAGGCTAGAGTGCAATGACATGATCTTGACTCACTGTAACCTCTGCCTCCAGGGTTCAAGCGATTCTCCTGCTTCAGCCTCCCAAGTAGCTGGGATTACAGGTGTGCAGCACCACGCATGCCCGGCTAATTTTGTATTTTCAGTAGAGACAGGGTTTCACCATGTTGGTCAGGCTGGTCTCGAACTCCTGACCTCAAGTGATCCACCCGCCTCAGCCTCCCAAAGTGCTGGGATTACAGACGTGAGCCACTGCGCCCAGCCACAGGTAACTTTTTAATCTCCTTTTCCATATTTCAAGGGTTGATTTTTTTCGTTGTAAAAATCTTACGATTTGAAAACCCCAGGGCAGGATCAAAATCCAGAGGACATAACATTTCCCATTTGGGGAAAACATATGAAACTTCACATCTATAGGGTTATCTTTCCTCTAACATTTTAAGTATGTAATCAATATTATGAAGCAAAGGAAAGCAAAGAAACACAGCTAGAAGTAATAATATGTATCGAGAGAAAATGTTAGTTAAAATAAAACAAACTGTCTTGGATTTAAACAAAAATATTGTTTGGATTCATTACAAAAATATTCTACTGGCTCAGTTGTCAGTATGACTTGGTGAAGAATGTTGTTAGCATTGCAAAGTAAAGATCTATATTTGAAGTAATAATCTTCCAATATAATGTCAAGAATAGTTTCTTAAAAAGTTCCTTGTTACACATATCAAATTCTTGCAATAAGAATTTCACATGGAGACCAAGAGAGGGGTATTCTTCTCTCCCTATTGGATATGCTTCTAAACTCCTCAAAGAGAGGGCTTGCTGGTTTTGGCAATGATATGGAAGAATGGGCACCAACATACGTTGTTGTTAGTTATGTAAATTACTAGTACAAGCCGGGTGCAGTGGCTCACGCCTGTAATCCCAGCACCTTGGGAGGCCAAGGCAGGTGGATCACCCAAGGTCAGGAGTTTGAGACCAGCCGGGTCAAACATGGTGAAACCCCGTCTCTACCAAAAATACAAAAATTAGCCAGGCATGGTGGTGGGTGCCTGTAGTCCCAGTTACTTATAAGGCTGAGGCAGGAGAATCGCTTGAACCCAGAAAGCGGAGGTTGCAGTAAGTCAAGATCAAGCCACTGCACTCCAGCCTGGGCGATAGAGGGAGACTCCATCTCTAACAAACAAATAAATAAATTACTAGTACAACCTTTCTAAAGGGCAATCCAGGACCGTGTTTCCAAATTTTTCAATGTATTTGACCTTTGATCCGGCTGTTATACTTTTAGAAATTAATTCCAAGAAAATCATCAGACAAGAAAATAAAGAAATACTGCAGCATTATTTGTAACAATATAACAATAAAAAACTGGAAATACCATACCATAGGGATTGGCTGAATAACTTAAGGCACAGCCATGCAATGTAATACTATACAGATGTTAAAGGAAATGAAGTCAATGTATATCTACATATATAGACATGAAAAGATAAAAGATGTCCAATATATTTTACAAAACACTATAATGTGATTCCATTTATGTTAAAAAAAAAAAAAAAAACCTCAAATCATTCATGTATACATAGGGACAGGATAAAACTTTCATTTTCTAAAATTCAATATAGTTTCTTTATTTAAAATGCTTTTATAAGGGCAAAATGTTGATAATTGTTAAAGTTGGGTGGTGGGTAAATGGGGATTCACTGCACTGTTCTCTTTACTTTTATATACATGTGCAATTTCCTAAAATAAAAATTATTACTTTATTAAACACCACCTTGTATTATGCTGTAATTTTTCAGGGATTTTTTTTAACTACAAAATAAAAGGGAAGTAGAAAAAAGTCTATTAGTCCAGGCTTTTGGCAAAGAAATAAAAACAAATGCTAATAAATTCAAAATATAGTCTAAGTGATTCAACCCTATTTCGAATCCGCTTACAAATGCTAATAAATTAGCAAAGCATTAATCATACAAAACAGGTTCTTGTACTGATAGTCACATTTATGCCAACAACTAGCTTGGACTTGAGGCAGCAATGATTTTATAAGCCCAGAACAGATGTATGCATTATTTAGAGAGGTGACCAGAAAACAAGTTGAAAGAGACAGAGAAAAAAGGCAAATTTCTTTAAAAATTCTTCAAATGCAATAAATACTAGTATTCAGAGTTTCCACAATGACAACATCTTAGACAATTAAGGTGGAGCTCCACAGTGGGTTTTGTTTGGATGGAAACTTCTTTGACAGGGGTAATGCTGCACGGTACCAGGAGGTGAGGCAACAGTCTCTTTTGCTCAAAACACACTAACGGGGCCGGGCGCGGTGGCTCACGCCTGTAATCCCAGCACTTTGGGAGGCCGAGACGGGTGGATCACGAGGTCAAGAGATCGAGACCATCCTGGTCAACATGGTGAAACCCCGTCTCTACTAAAAATACAAAAAATTAGCTGGGCATGGTGGCGCGTGC